CAGCATTACGGGAAGTGTGTAGAAAGGGTGTCCTTAATGGGTATGCACATAGACACAGACATCCAATGGAGCTCAAACACTTCGACGGTTGTAAAGAAGGCCCAACAGCGTCTCCATTTTTGTGAGAATCCTCAGAAAAATGGACCTGAAGAGGGAGCTGCTGATCGTCCTCTACTGTTGCTCAAGTTAAAGTGTGCTGAGATACTGCATCTCTGTATAATTCTTCAGCACACAAAAAGGCACTTCAGAGGGTCATTAATATGGCCCAAAAAATCATTGGACATCCTCTTCCCTCCCTGAAGGACCCGTACAGCACTCGCTGTCTCAAGAGGGCACGCAGCATGTTTAAGCTGCTGCCGTCTGGCAGGAGATTTAGGTTGCTGAGGTCACAAACAAACACACTCAAGGACAGCTTTTACAACAGTTACAGTAACAGTTAGATACTAATCAGTGCTAACAGCTGACCTGAATGGCTACCTCCCTTGACTTTTTTGGTGTGCAATAAAAACAATGTACAATAAGCATTCACTTATTCTTTTATTTATTAAGTCATTCATTTTTTTGCTCATACCTTTCTTGCACTTAAAAAAACACTTTAAAGTTACTGTGTTGTGTTGTGGTGTTGTGTTTTGTTGTGTTGTGCTTGGTGCCGACGTGGCACCAATTTCGTTGTACTATTGTACTAGGTATGACTGTGTAATGACAATAAAGAGTTATCTATCTTATCTATCTAATTTGGCTGACTGAAAATGATTGGCAATAAATAGCCTACACATGTAAATAATTGATTTTCTAATCAGAGCTCTGTTAGCTGCTAACTCATCAGCGTTAGGACCAGTCACACTGTAAAATCCATTCAAAGCAGCCCCCCGACGTGATTCAGTGTGAAGCTTTTATTTAGACTATTAAAACATTACCTCGCATGTACATAAGCAAGAATGCTGCCATTAAGAGGGTTGCATCTTGGCTGCAATCCAGTTATACTGTTATTACCATATTAACAAACTTAAGGCAAGTTGATTTTCTTTTATATTTTAATTCCAAGGAGCCAGGCTGTTGTAATTTTTAAGTGGTCTTGAGGAATAGTTTTCCAAGCTTTCTCAGGGCATTTTAAACTTTAACAGTGGACACTGACTATGTTTTCACTCATTTTCAGTCCAGTCCTTTCACCTGACCAATTTCAGAGTTTTTTTCCTTTTAAGCCACTGACCACCAACCTCTGACTTATTCAATCATTAAAAGGCTTTTAAGTCAACTGAATAACTGGTATTGTGTCTATGCATAACAGACAACTTAGCAAAGAGCCAAATTTTCTTACCAGCAGCAAAACACACCATGTCTCCACTTCTTTACTTGGATATCCAAAAATTGCCAAAGATAACACAGTTAGCAGGCATAAAATAGCTTTTTTAGACCAACGAGGTGATTCCCAAAGAGCCAAAAACTTGACGTAGCGTGTCTTAAAAAAGGAAACCGGACAAGTGGTGAACAAAAGAAGAAGTGGCAGGTCTAAAAAAGATTTGAAAGTCATCTAATTAAGAAATAGGAAAAATCCTGTAGAGATCAGACACAGGACCCGAGAGATGCATCTGACCCTTCAGCTGATCCATCTACTGCTCACTGAACCCGCATCAAAACGGTTTTAGTGGAAGGCTGGCTGTCAACAAGCCATTCTTAAAGAACGGGATGAAAATTACAAAAACTGGACTAAAAATTGGTGGCAAGATGTTTTATGAAACGATGAATCCAAATGTTAAATTTCTGGTTTAAATCATCGTCAGTTTACATTGAGGTACAACAGTGATGTATCTACAGCCATCTGTGTAACACAGCGGAGGCTCTGTCATGTTTTGGGGCTGGATTTCAACCAGTGGTGTCAGAGATCTTGTCAAAATTGATCAATTTTGAATGTAGAAAACTAGAGTCAGATTTTGACTCTTCATGCAATACCACTGGGAAAGGATCCGGTGCATTTATCAGCAGTGATCTGAAGCACACTGCCAATGAAGAACAAACAGCAGAATGTTATCAGTCATAGATTGGCCTCCCCGAGTCTGATTATTACTGAAGCAGTGTGGGATCATCTTGACAGAGAGCGAAACAAAAGTCCGGCAACATCCAAATAAGAGCTTTGAATATCCTTCAAGAAGCCTGGAGAACTATTCCTGAAGACAACTTAAACAAATGACAAGAAAACTTGTCTAAGAGAGTTTAGGCTGTGTTGAAAAATTAAAGGTGGTCATACCAAATATTGACTTTCAAGCTTGTTAGAATTGTACAAATTATGTTTTTGCTTTATATGCCGTATTTCCATGTATTTTTTTTATATCCATTTCTAGCCCACTGTTATTTAGGATGTTTTTCCAGTTAATAAAATAAGTGTGCTTCTGACAACTAATCTTAATCTTTAAAAAGGTCACATACAATAATGTGGAGCAGTTTAATTACTGTTTTCTCCATAGCTACATATTGGTAATTAATATCAGTATTTGCTGATTCTTTGTTTGCTAATAAATATCTAGAAGATCCCAAACTAATTAACTTAATGGCCCAGAAGGCAGATCTACCGCAGAGATATCATGTGGGGGCCGATGTTATTCGTTCCTCTTTGAAACGACTTCCTCGATGTGAAAGACACTTGTTCCAGCATCCATCACTTCGAGGTGATTATCTCCAAAACCATCCGTCCCTGAGAGGAAAAGCTGCTTTACTGCTAGAGAACAACAACAGGAGATCAACTGGCAGTTTTTTTTCCCTCCAGTCTTGAAGTATTATTAGTCAGACACTTGGCTTCAGCCCCAACAACGTAGCAGTGCTCTGGCTTCACCTCACTGAGTGATGGAGAGACTATTCGTGCTTCGTGAGCAGTTTAAATGCCGAGCTATGGAGAAAGCAGCCCCTGCACACGACCAACAAATCTACATGTTGATCTTTAAAATCCTTTAAAAAAATAAAAAGAAATGACTGACTGTAGGTCTGCTTTAATAAACATAGACACTTTGAAGTCTTAAAGGAATATGTATGAGTCACTTTCCTCCTGCTTCATGCAAATAGTGTATGAAGCTTAACAATTCATCCTATTTTGTGCTCTGCTATTGGTTTTAGCAGAAGGATACCCATAAATCTGTCTTTAATTCAGACTTTTGAGAGCTTCCCATCGGCATTGTTTCCTGCTTTAATCTGCACACATCTGTATAATTTATTCTACAGCACCCTACAGATGGGCAGGGACTTTTCATGACAGGAGGCCCTCTTGATCAAAACTGCTTTTGTCTGAACTTCAGAACTGTTCCCTTTGATCACAGCTAACAGAAGGCAGCAGGAAGCTCAGGCTTCAAGCTTGAAAAATATTTATTTTTTCTTATTTCTCTAGTTTGTATAAATCTAGAGCAAGGATTAACCCAGAGATGGCAACACACAGCAATGTGTAACAGATGAGAGAAGAAAGGCTTCCCTTACCCTAGACCTGTATATTATTTCAGAGCTATGAAGCTGGGGAAAGAAAGGTGTTTCGATCGGGGACTGATTAGAGCTATTTTTAACAATGGTGTATTATAACCTCCAAGACTTTTGGATAAACTGCTTCTTAAGCCTTCTTAACAATGAAAACAGTGAACAGACATGCCATTCATTTACATTATATACAGGCTTTGTATACTCTATAAACTTGACTGGTAAACAGAGTCACCCCAGGTTCTTAAGTCTGCCTACTCACACTTTCAGTGTTAATATAAAAGGCTGATAAAAATATTGAGCCTGAGTTTATCATCTCCATCTTCATCATCTGAATCTTAATATTTCACCAGCATCTGAATTTTTAATCTCACATTTCTAAGCTCATTCAAACCTATTTCGTTCAACCAAAAAACAATGCATAAATCAAACACAGATCATTTAGACCCACCCATAATTTAGAGCTTTTAGTACGCACTTTAATTTTCTCTCATCTCTCACATTTTATGTGCGTCCCTCAGTCCCGCTTAGCCCATCATCAGCTCATCCAGAATTGCAGCTGCTCACAAAAAACATGGCCACCACCCTTCTTATCCTGGCTTCCCTTTCACTGACATCCAGTGAAATTTGTGAATTCATTTCAAAGTGTTACTAATTTCATATAAAGCCTTTATAGCCTTGTATGGCCAGGCTCCAGGCTCCGGCCATCTGAGCAGTCTTTATACTGACCCAAGCTCTAATTTGAAATCTTTTTGACTTTATTGTAAACTCTCTTGAGGTTGTAGTACAACAGCCCCCTCAGTTTATCAGGTAAGCTGAATAAGTGGGTGTGTTTTAAATAACTACTGAGAACTAATTTCTGTGGTTTCATATGTTTCTCTAATCTTTCATCCAGTATTTTTGTGATATAACTCAAACCGAATGGATGCACGGAACTATGCCTTTATGAAAAAACACAATCAAAAGATTGTGTGTGCCTGTGTGTTTGCATGATGGGTTGTGTATACTTATCTTTAATGTGTTTTTTTGTAATTGTGAAGAGCTCTGCAACAATGTGTTAAGAAATGCCGTACAACAACAACAAAATAAAATCATTACTCATAGTATAATAATGTTTGATTGGACCAGAATTTAACCAAAGAAACAGACTTTATGGAACTATTCAGCATGCCTTCATTTGAGGAGAAGTTGCACAGGATTTTAGAAATCAGAAACGCTGATGGCCAAAGGCTATTACTAGCTGGGGTGTGATTATTATGCTGAACTTCTGCTTTTAGTGAATGTTCTGTTAGACGTGACCAGGTTTTAGCAGACATGCAAAAACTGAACTACAGAATTTTACAAATGCACTTGTGGATGGTTCAAACATTAAGCACACAGTTTCACGCGAAACCAGCTTCCTAGCGATTTAAGAAGGCCAGTTGCTTAAAAACCACCCTCCATCCTTTAGTCACAAAGTTTCAGGTACACTAGGAATAAAGTAGTCCCCCCTCCCCCAAGCTTCCACAGTAAGCGCATGCATGATTAAAATAAGCTCGGTCTCTTGCCTTTCTCAGCACTTTCAGCACTTCGGCCGCTTGCTCCATCTTCTGCTCTCGGAGAAGCCTCTGGATTTCCCGGACCCAAGCCACCCGCCTGACATATGGGCTGTGGTTGGTTTTCCGCAGCATCCCTGGAAGCTTGTCGGACTTGAGCATCAGGGAGGTAAACAAGAAGTCTCCGCTCCTGCCGCCACTCCTCTCGCTCTCTCCAGGAATATCATTCCTCTGGCGTCTCCTTTTTGACAATTTGCTATCAAAATCGAGACTTCTCTGTCTGGTCAACTTAGAGCCCATCACTCCTGGGAGGATGTGTCACTGTTGGTGCGGAGAGCGAATTTTCAGCGTGCAGCCAAAACATCACACTTAACTTGAAATGTGAGGAGATGCATAAAATAGTGCCTCAAAGTTTGAAGGCTACTAACCAACCGCACAGCATCGCCACCGTAAATGTGCGGCTGGTTTCGCCGCCGTCTTCTCTCAGTCTGCATCTGTCCATGCACTGCCTAAGCACTCTGGCATCCCTCGCTTTACTCGGGGATGGTGTTTCTTCTCAGCCAATCAGATCGGTACTCGCTGCACAGCTTGAGAGTGCAGGAAAACACTCAGCTGAGTTTTCTTGCATAGCTATTAGAGTTGGCTAAAGCTGAACTACAATCTGAAACTGGGTGTGAATAAAGTGAATAAAAATAAAAGCATCCAGAAAATATGTTTAGTTTGAGTTTTTGTCAGTTTGGTGAAATTTGTTATCACAACATGATGCTTTGATGCGTCTGTTTATTGAGATTTGGGGCGTCTGTATGGGTCACCTGCCTTCAGTGGTATTTACACTCACTGGCCACTTTGTTAGGTACACATGTTCAACTTAAATATACAATCACGACCTGTTAATGTTCAAAGTGAGCATCAGAGTGGGCCAGAAACGTGACCTACGTGACTTGACTGAACGTGTCATGGCTGTTGGTGTCAGTCAGACTGTCATATTGGGATTTTCCCACTCAGTCATCAATAGGGTTTACAGAGAATGGTCTGAAAAACAATATATCCAGTGATCAGCCGTTTTGTGGGTGAAAATGCCTTGCTGATGTCAGAGGTCAGAGGAAAATTGTCACACTGCTTTGAGCTGATAGGAAAGCAACAGTAGGTCAAATACATACTCATTATGACAAAGGTACGCAGAAGTGCATCTTTAAATGCACACTGGATCTTGTAGCAGATGGGCTAAAACAGCAGAAGACCACACTGATCAGCACTTCTATAAGCTAAAAACAGTAAAATAAATGTCATAATCTGCACAGGTTCACCAAAATTGGACAACAGGAGATTGGAAAAATGTTGCCTGGTCTGATGGGCATTTATTTCCACCGTGACATTACAATGGCAGGAATCAGACTTTGAAAAAAAAAAGCATGGATCTATCTGGGCTAGTGCCAGCAGTTTAGGCTGCTGGTGGTGTAACAGTGTGAGGATATTTTCTTGGCATTTTTTTAGGTCCCTTAGAACCAACTGAGCATCGTTTAAATGCCACAGTCTGGCTGAGTATTGTTGCTGACCATGTCTCTTTATGACCACAGTGTACCCATCTTCTGATGGGTGCTTTCAGCGGGGTGATGCACCACATCACAAATCTTGGATTATCTGAGATTGGTTTCTTAAATGTCCTCTCAAATGTCCTCCACAGTCACACGATTTCAGTCCAATAGAGCACCTTTGGGATGTGTTGGAACAGGAGACTCACATCATGGACGTAGAGCTGATAAATCTGCAGCAACTGTGTAATGCTGTCATGTTAACAAGTTTAACAAGCCTTGTAAGCCAAAGATGCTTGCATTTTTTTCAGTCCTGTTATCAAAACTCAAAAAACATGTTTAAAACATGGACGAATTCCACTGACTTTCCAAGAAAAGTCAAGAAAGTCAAATAACTGATATTTGTGACCAAAAATCCTTATGTACACACAGAAACTGTGTTTTTTAAAGATCCAAAGGTACATTTATCAGTTCAAGTTGACACAAACCTCAAGTTCATCGTATTTATTAAGCGACATAATTGCAGAAACAAAGCAAAGTAACAGGATTGAACATGTCCTGAGAATGTGTGCATGTCAGTGTGTGTGTGAGTGTGTGTGAAAACAAACTTATGTAACCTTTTCTAAGAGTCCCTCTCTAGTTTGGACCTCTTTTTCAATTTCCATATAGCAGGCTGTGACTGGCTTCAGTGGTGGGATGACCCCAGTTTTGTTTATGCACCTCAACATGTGTATCTGTGATGACACCTGGTTGGAGGTCACCACTACTTTACCACACACCATTCGCCAACAACTTCAGGACTTTGCCACAGAATATCTGTGGCTTTGGGTGCTATCTGTTAATGATTGAGTGTGAAATGCTTTGCATTAAAGCACTCACAGATCAGAATTTAGTGTGCACCCGACATCCCTGCATGTCAGTTTTGCCTGGGCAATGGTCACTGCCTGATGTATCCTCATAGTGGATTGAATTGATGGCACATCTTTGGGCATCTCCTGAACTGCTTTCTCTACTGCATCATCATTGGCAAAAAACAACCTGATTACCATTTCTGTCTTTTGTAACACAGCAAACAGTTCTGTAGCATCAGGAATGTCTGTCCCTTTGCTGACCAGACTGTCAGCCTTCCTCTTTAGGGCTCCTCCCACACCACCCAGTGCACCCTTTACAAAGATCGCCTCAAAGAAGTTCCATGTCCCAACAGCGAATCCTTGTTTGAACAGTTCATGGGCCGTCACTACAAAAATGGATCGTGGAGACCTTTGGATGTGCCCTCTGTCATGCACCGGTGACGAGTACTGCCAGATTGCTGGTGGGCCCTTAAATCTCGTTCTTTTAACTTTAACTTTCCTTTAACGTTGTTTAACAACCCTCCACCTCAAAAGTATTTAGGTGCAGTTGTGAAAGTGGAACTGGAGAACCCACCTGTGAGGCTGAGTGAGGCTAGAGGTAAAAAAAATCCTTTTTCACTGACATGTAGTTTGAACAGCTGTGTTTGAATGTCAGGGAACAATGTCAGGGAACGTCAGCTCCTTAGATTACCATGACCTGGATGACTGAGAACCTACATACATGTTTTCTTTCCTTGTATGGAAACCTAGTATAACCCCTGTCAAGCATCTAATTTAGAGGGGTTGTCCCCCCTTCATCTTGCATTTAATTCTGCCTTGACACCATCATTATGGCCTATGGCAGCAGGTAACAGCCACTTTCTCTAAACACAAGAGTAACAACAACACAGAAATTAGTTTATTAATCTAGACCTTTTTTCTAAAACTGAAGTGGGTAATTAGAAAGCTTATAATTTCTGACTTACTGTAGCAGTACTGAAGAGTCATACTAATCTTATACAGATCCTTGAAGAGAGACGCAAGTGGACTTTTAGAACGAAATCGAACTCTTTGTTTACTGTGGATCTCACCTTTCATCTGCCCTTGTGTCTCCAAACTGATGCAGAGCCTTTGGGATGCTGTGCTGCAGGATGTGTCGGCGCTCACAGGCGGAGGCCTACTCCAGGAGCAGCAGGTGTATGGAAAAAAATCTTTAATGATCTGCAGCTCCATCTCCTGGATTCCTCATTCTCTCTGTTCTGCTTGAGGGACACCACAGTCACCGTGTGGTTTATGAGACGTGGGCTAACATTTAAATTCAAGGAGAATCATTAGCGTGCTGCGAGAACACCTGTGGCTCACTTTGCTCACTGCTCTTTATGGCGGTGGAGTGAGGCATTCCTTTACCTTCCTAGCCACACTCATGCTTCTTAGCTGACGTGTCTCAATGGTTCAACATACCTGCATGCAACATAGGAACTGATTTACCAACCTGTGCTGCACCACCACCACATAGATGGTTTGGGGTCAGGCTTTGCCATGAGCTCCTTATATGCTTTTGTATGCCAGACTGTCATAAAATGGTGTGTGAGGCAAGGCAGAAAAGGACCCAGATGTAAGACTCTCAGGCAGAACTAAACTCCACAATAATTTAAAAATACCCAAAAAAGAATGTAAAAAAAAAAAAAATCCCCAAACCTCCGACAAACTCAAAACTGACCATGACACAGACATAGCTGCCTTTAGATAAAAATTACACACTATATGAATGAAGACTCCATATCTAGTCTTCATCCTCACAGGGCTGGGCAATAACTAATAAAATGTCATCTAAGTTACACAATCAGAAAAAATAATGACATTTAGATTGACAAGAACTGCTTGATTAATCCCTGATTACGTGGTTAGATTCAGATTGATTCTGATTATGTTTCACTGTATATTGAAATTACTCCTTGAACTTTAATCATGCTAATAAAACCCATGCAGGCCACAGGTTGAACAATGCAAAGTCCATAACAGAAACTCCACAACCAGTCTGGTGGAACCAAACTAGAAAACTTGGAGTGCAATTTGTATTTTAGAGTAATCTGACTCACCCACAGTTCTGCAATAACATCTTTTATTAAAGACGCCATTAAACCAAACTTTAAAAAAAATCTGTCTGGCGGATGGCTGTCAGTTGGGTGGAGCCTGAGGAGAAATCTACAGCTTCATTGTTCTTGTGAAAAGGAAAGAACAATATCCCATCTCTTCAATGTTTTGTTGCATTATGAAGGCACCATTTTTCTGCTGTTCTCTTTCGTCTGACATGGAGCAATGCACCTAACTCTGAATATTTAGTACAGCCTGAGGGTTACAGCTATGAAAGCATCAATGCTGTCTGTTGGTGATGTCACAGCAGAAGCAAAGTGATGGGGACAAATTAGTAAAGAAGAAGAAGACTATAATTGTTTTGTTTGGCAATTCAAAGGTCTGTGTTCCTTAAATGCCTAAATTGGATTTTTGAGTGCTTTGATAGCTGCGGCTCCACAGATTCAAGATTCGTTATTCGTCACATGCATAGTGATACAAGTACAACACACAGTCAAATGTGTCCTGAACTGCTCCTTTGACTGTGCAAGACATTATATTAAAAAAAAAGTACATTTAAATTAAAATTAAATCTGGAAATTTTTAATTTAAATCTGAAAAAAGTACAATGTGCGAACTTAATGTTAAAGTGCTTTGTGCCATATTAGCACAACAATGTATTGACAGAGCAATGAAAGCAGAGAAAACAAAGTGACCAGAGTAATGTAAACAGAGTATTTTAACAGGATAATTAAATAGAGTGACCAGAGTAATATAAATAGTAGTGAAGCAGTATGATCAGTGAACCAGTGTGTGATGTAATAATAAATCAGATATGATATGAAACATGACAGTAAAAGTTCTGGGACGTGACAAGAATATGATATAATGTCCTGTTTCCGTCACTTTGGGTGATGTTATGAGGGAAGTGGGAGTGGGAGCTCCTCTTGAGTCTCTCTGTTTTTGCCCTGATAGTGTGGAAACTTCTGCCTGATTGCAGAAGTCGAAACAGTTCGTCACTGGGATGGGACGAGACCTGCAGCAGCGTTCTGTCGCACGGATCACTCTCTGAAGAGCTTTTC